TATATAAGGGATTTGAGCATTGTGGATTTTGAAACCAGCGTCACATGGATGCTGAGGGACAACTGTTACTACGTTTGGAGGAGTCTAAAGTTATGCGCAGATTTTCAACTGTGTGGTAGCCAGCAGCCCTAGCTCCTGCAATGTTCAAGGGTCAGATGTACGCCCAGAAGTAGCTAGCATGACAGACTTTCAGAATAGCTTATTAAAATTTCAGCTAAAAGTGTCCCCAGTAACTCCAATACCTGGGTCCTCAACACTGTATAACCTTTTAAGCACCACAAAACCCAGGCCCACACTGTGCCAGTTAGTGTGGGCATTAAACGTTGCTAGGTCGTACCCCGTTTCTCCCAATCCTCGGCTCCTCAAGCTACCTTCCAACTTTTCTCTATGTCAGCAAAGCTGTAGGCAGCTGGTAACTAGTGTTTTCATCCCCCCAAAAGAGTAACTCTAAGGCTTTGATGAGGCCCGTACAACAAAAGCACTGTCCCTTCCATCTTGCCCACTCCCATCCCCCATTCCTACAACTCTGTTCCCAAGTTCCATGTCTGATTTTTGTGGAGCAAACTTTCCTTCCAAACTCTCTTTTCCCTTTTCCCCCTCCTCTCCTCCTTCCATTCTGCCTTCTTTCTTTCAGGCCCTGCCAAGACGCATATAGTTAAGGAAAATCTAAGTAACCCATGGAATCATAATGAAAAGAAAATAGAGGTAGAGGAATAAAATATTAGCATACAGAAAAGGTGACATTGTGTAATGAGCTGAATCACGCTCCCTCCCCCAAAAACGATGTCGAAGTCCTAACCCCGGATACCTGTGAATGTGATCTTACGTGGAAATATGGTTTTTGCAGATGTAATCAAATTAGGATGAAGCCGTCAGGGTAGGGTTTCATCTAATATGACTGGTGTCTTTATCAGAAGAGGGAAATGTAGACACCGACACACAAGGGGCGTGCTGTGTGGCAATAGAGGCAGAGGCTGCAGTAATACATCTCCAAGCCAGGAACTGCTGGCCACTGCCAAAAGACAGGTAGAGGCCCAGGGAGACTTTCCCCTACAGATGTCAGAGGGGGTGTGGCCCTGCTGACACATTTGTTTTGAACTTCTAACCTCCAGAACTGTGAGTGAATAATCTTCTATTGCTTTGAGCCTTGAAGTTTGTGGTACTTTGCTGCAGCAGCCCTAGGAAACTAATAGAGCAGGCATCCCATATGTGACTCTTAGCTTTCCTAGCAGCTAAAGCAAGGACGCAGTCTGTTGCATGCTGTACAGTGCCCACGGGATGAAATGATCCCATTTGTTCAGGGGACGCAGAGCTTTTCATCACTCAGGATCAGAGAATGGTCTCCTCTGGGTACAAAAAAAAACACTGTGGGAATCGGTGGGCAATGGCAGTGAACGACATCAGGACACTAGCTCTGATAATAAGTTTCATTCAGCTCTTTCCCGCAAGGTGCCTCACTGAAGGCAAATGACATAAACCCCAAGGGACAGCTCATTAAAAGCACATCTAAAAGCCACAGATGGCTATTATCAACAAGTGTTGGAGAACATGTGAAGAAAAAGGAGCCCTCATTCCCTGCTGGTGGGAACATAAACTGGTACAGGCACTGTGGACAACAATATGGAAGCTTCTCAAGAAATTAAGAATAAAGTCACCATATGACCCAGAAACCCCTCTTCTGGGTACCTTCCTGGAAAAACTTGAGAACATGTATTCACAAAGATATGGGCGCCCCTGTGTTCACTGCAGCATTACCCGCAGTGGCCAAGCCACGGAAACACCGAAGTGCCCTTTGTTGGAGGACTGGGGAGAGAAGACCTGGCACACGCGTACGATGGGATACTGCTCGGTCATAAGAAGGACGAAATACAGCCAATTGGGACGACATGGGTGGACCTTGAGAACACCATGCTAAGTAGAGTCTGTCACTCAGGACAAGCTAACAACCATATGATTTCACTAGTATGTGGGACAAAACTGAAACTCACAGACGCAGGCAACAGCACGGTGGTTGCCGAGGGAAGGGGGGGTGGAGTAGAGTAAAGGGGACCAAACACATGGTGAGAGAAGTGGTTTGACTTTGAGTGGTGGGCACACAATGCAACACACAGGCTATCATAGAAATATATACTTGAAAACTATAAAATCTTATTAACTCATGTTGCCCCAATGAATTTAATTTTTCTAAATTAAAAAATAAAAAGCCAGAAATGAAAGAGGAGACATTACTATCAACCTGAGAAATCGAAAGGATTATAAGGGAATGCTATGCACAAGCATATACTAACATATTAGATAACTTGGGTGATTATGGATAAATTCCTAGAAAGATACAAACTACCAAAACTGACTCAAGAAGAAATAGACAATTTGAACATAACTATAACAAATAAAGAAACTGAATTAGTAATTTAAAAAAAAAACTACTCATAAAGAAGAGCCTAGGCCCAGGTTGCTTCACTGTTAAATTTTACCAAGCATTTGAGGAAGAATTAATGCCAGTTCTTCACAAACTCCCACAAACAGAAGAGGAAGGAATACTTCCCAACTCATTTGACGAAGCTAGTATTACTCTGACACCAAAGCCAGACAAAAGCATCACAAGAAAACTACAAATTCAAAGCACACACAGGATGCATCAGAAGAGTGTGGTCCATGTATGCTGCTCTGTAATTTCATGTTTTTGAGGGAATTTCCATAAATAGTTTTCTCAAACTGGGTTTTTGGTAAGAATTAGACAGCAGATTCTGAAGCTATAATCTCTGGCAAGAACCTAGAGAGTAAATACTCTGCACTATCAGTAAAATGCACACTCTCACACTTTGCCCACCTCCAGGGGATGGGATAGAAATGAGGTTTTCTTATGAAAATTAACTGTTTTTTATAGTTAAGTGCATGATGAAAGTTAGGGGAACTGCCATTACCAAAATACAGACTAAAAGGTGTTTTTCTTACTAAAAGCTGAACAAAAAATGTGGGGCAGAAAAAAAAAGCTCTCAGATATTTGAGAAGTATTTTATAATTTGATTTAAATTTAATATAAAACATCAAGGAAGAGATTTTGGATTATAAGCACTGACTCAAACACAGAAAAGCCAAGCTCCTTTTCTGTGGACTTTAAAAATAAATCCAAAACACACCCTCTTAGGATAATAAATATTCGAGGAATCCAAATCCTACCCCTTTTTAGGTCTTGGTTAAATGCTGCCACCTTCAAGAAAATGTAGCTGTTCTCAGTTTGGGGTGGCACCACAGTGCTTCCTCTTACATCATTTTTCACTTTCTTCTTGAAGTTGCATTTGTCTATCGTACCGAAGTATAATCTTCTTGAGGTTAGGAATGATCTCTTGAATCTCCAGATTCTTCTTCAAATTTAAGGTAGTGCTTTGCCCATAATGAGCACTTAACTAAAAACTGTCTTATGAACTGATGAAAATATCATGTATCTCATTACATGGTCAGTTTAAAGCCAAATGGATGTTTAAGGTACTCAAAGTAAAAAGTCTCTCATTAAGCCCCGGCTGGTGTGACTGAGCATCACCCTCTGAACCAAAGGGTCACTGGTTCAATTCCCAGTCAGGGCACATGCTTGGGTTGTGGGCCAAGTCCCCAGTAGAAGGCTCATGAGAGGCAACCACACATTGATGTTTCTCTCCCACTCTCCTTCCCTTCCCCTCTAAATATAAATAAATAAAATCTTAAAAAAAAAAAAACAATATAATTTTTTAAAGTCTCTCATTAAAAGGATTAGCAGATACAACAAACTTTAAACATTTGTTTATGAATTAAACCATGAATAAGAGATGTCTTTAACCTAATTAATTTATATTACTTGCTTTTCTTTCAATCAGATGTTCACAGCCATCAGTGTTCCCTTGAATGAGAAGAAACATATTAACCTAATAGTTAACCACACTGAAAATTAACCCTTTGAAGACTCCCAACCACTTTCTTCTTCTGAAACCTTTCTTGGAATGGTAAAGTGAAAACTCCTTTAATGCACTTCGAATCTCTACTTTCTAGAAAAGATGAGGTTAAAAAAAAATTTCCCTGAACCAAAGCAGGGAAAGTGGATTACATTATTGTGACCAGTATTCCCTGTCCTTTTAAGAGGATTATACCATCTCTGCCCGTTGTCATATGATTTTACAAGGCTCCCTAATGACAGGAGTGTACTTTCAGGCCCCATTGACAGCAGGCTTTGTCACGTGACTTGCTTTGGCCAATAGAATGTGAGCAGAATTGAGGTTCACAGAAAGTGAGCTGTTTAAAAAGCAGCATGTGACCGTGGTGAGACCTGATTGCTACATTTCCAGAAACTTCGCAAGACACTTATTAAACTGTTTTTTGCTAAACATCATTTGCTATTATAGAAATAGCAAATACCAAAATCAGGACTCCTCTTCCCTCACAGTTGGTGCCAGCACACAGTGAGTGTGTCTCCAAAAAGCTGACCTTCAATTCAACGTGGGGCCTGGAATAAAGGAAACTGGTGGAATGGAGCCAAAGCTGCCAACAGCAGAAGCTATTTGCTTGGAAAAAAAAAAATCTTTGTTGTAAATCTTGAATACAATGTCTCAAAAGCTGACCGATACACCCTGCTGGTGTTACTAAGTTTTAGTCAACACCAATGAGCCCTACCTACCTTTACCTGTCCAGACCTTGGTTCAAGGAATTTCTTCTAACTTGTGCCATCACACACCTTGAACCTGAAAGGATGCAAGCTGCATTCAGAGACTGAAGACAGGAATCTAGGTCTTAGAAGGTTAATGGAAAGGGACAGAACAAAAATTACATTTTTAAAAAATCACTAAACTGTTGTTTCATTTCTAAAGCTTGACAAACATAAATCTATCATTCAGGGTCCTAGATGGTTTAGGAGTGACTCCCCAGTTCTTTTAACTATAGTTCACACGTTACTGCTCCCCCTTCCCCCCCACCCCCACCCCCACCAGATGCGGAGAACGGAGCGCTGTGTCTTTAAGGGGGACGCGCGGAGGTTTCCGCTCCGGACAAAATGTCTGCGAGGATTATGCAAGAGACCAGCAGTCCAATGCCACCGGCCTCCCTCCCGCCATGCTCCGAGCTCCGGGGATGATGGAGTGAGTGTGGGACTCGAGGCTGGTGCAGCGAGTACCCAGGGCAAGGCGGGGAACCTCCCCGAGGCCTGGTCTGGGGGTGTCATGGTGGGAGGGGGGAGGGGCCCCCCCCAAGCCGCAGGGGCCGCCCCAGGCTTGGGCCACAGGTGAGCCCGGCCCTCTCACGCTGCAGCCCCGGTATCACTAGCTCGCTGTGCCCTGGGTGCAGGCTGCGCCCTTCCTCCACTTTGCTGGGGTTGTTGTAAAGGATGCTGTGGCCCTGGTTTCTGCTTAATGGCGCCGTTTAATTTCTTCCAGGACCTCGTTTTTCTCCTTCTCTACAGTATCCTCTCAAAAAAGTGACTGGGAGCACGGAGAATCTTCTGCTCTCCCTTTGTTAACGTTGCCTCCTTACGCTCAGGCTGCCACCGGTGCGCACCCTCTCCCTCTAGTGGAGACTTGCTCACTGCGTCCCACTCTGGGGAGGAGAAGCCCAGCGCGAGCCAGATGCTCAGACCAGAGCCCTGCCCTGCCCCCACCTCCGGGCGCCCACACAAAAGGGTTTTCTGATCCTTCCCGGGTGTACAGGACCCATTTGCTGTAACTACTTACACTAACCAAATCCTTGAAGCTCACCAGGCAAGCTTGTTTCTCCCTCCATGAAAGAAAAGAGTAGGTACTTGCTGCTACCTTCTGAACTTCTCATCAGCCCAGACTACAGAGACTGTGTCTTAAGAGAAACTGTCATAGAAATAGCTTAATACAGTGATATCATTAAGGTAACTATTTTTTGCACTTTTCATTATTTGTATATCCTTTTTGGCCAAAAATAGCTTTAGGCGACCCACAATAAAAAGTATTCAACAATGTGCAAAAAGGCCAAGAGCCAAAACCAGATAATTCTCAATTTAAAAATCTTACTGTTACAAAAGCCTTCAAAAGTGCCGCTTAATATCCCTCTAATTGATATGAAGTTATGCATTTTTACAAGATAAAATGGATCACCACCCTTTTTTAAGGAACATACAAAGTAATGAAGGACTGAAATAAAGGTCCACTTTAGGATTTTCATTAAAAAATGCATTAATAGAGAATGCTTCTGAGCCTTTTAGCTAATAGCAGAGTTATCTAAGAGTTTGGCTAATGACATTTAGAGAGCATCTCTGATTCACCAAATAAACAGCTGCAGGTCCAGTAAATTTTTTACAGTCCATCTTTAAGCTTTTTCTAAATATTTTCATACTTGACCCTTTATTCCCTGACCCAGATAGCCACATCTTACAATTTGGAGGCATTTTTACTTGCTTTTAAACTTCATTACAGGCTTTTAAAATTAAGCTTGGTGATTCCAGACTACTTTTCCTAATTGTATCTCTTTATAAAGAGATTAATACATGGCAGTAAACTAATATTTCAACATAAGTTGGACAGGTAACATAAATGAATTATGGTTTCTTTGATACTTCCCTTGTCAAGGCTAATTATTTGTCTTAATTAATATGTTCTGCCTTGATTTAAATTACTGGTGGACAAAATTATTTTAGTGTTTTTATACAAGTCTGTGTAGATTTCACATTAGTGTCAATTCCTTAGCTTAAATCCAGATTCAACCTACACATGATTGTTTAAAACTCTGGTGGATTAATCCAAATGAAGTGATTAGCCTTGACAGTGGAAGAACAGAGCTGCAATCCACTCTCTACTTCTTTTTGAGAACGTTGCCTGGTTCTTTGGCCTTTAGCCTGTGGAGTATTTTGTATGTGTGCAAACATTAAGTATAAAATACTATAGTGAACTTTTACGGGTGGTCTATAGCATGATCTTAATGTCATAGTTGTATACTAAGTATTATCATATTTATACAAATTATTCACCCAGGTTTTGATCTCTTCCCTTATTTTCTATATTAGTATTCAAGGAGAACATACTGAGGAATCTAGGTTTTAATCTGATAGGTTATTAGAAGAATAGAACTTCAAATAGAACTACAAATGCAAAGGTAATTAATGTAAACTTATTTTCTTCCACAGGCTTAGACTTCTTATTGTCTCTTCCAGATATGGGATTCTTAATGAAACTCACTCACAGGACAGTTCAGAGACATGGTACCAGCATTGCTACTCTCTCACCTTCCACGGCATAACTAAAAACCACTTTTTTCTCCAGCTTGTTTTTCTCCTGAAATTGGGCTGAAGAATTTCCACTGTTAATTTCATGGCAGCAGTGCTTTTATTTAGTTTCAAGAAATGTTGTTTTAAAATAGGAGCTTGGAAGCCTAGCTATTTGACTAAAGAATTGGAATTCTATGAGTCAGCACTAGTGGTAAAGTGTTTTTGTGAATTTTGTGCCCTGAGGTGGGCACGGAAGGGAAGGGAGGCTGAAGCAGCAGTGCCTGCAGGAACCAGGAACATTTGTGTTTAGGGCCCAAAGACCCACCCCTTCCCCAGTGTGGACACCATGTGATGGAATCCGCCCCCCTAAGTGAAACTTTACCACACATATCAGAATTATTGCTGGAAGCATCTCTCACCACCCAATGGTGAGCTTCCAGACGGCGGGAACTGACTATATGGTTATCCTCTTGGCATCCTGGGCAGCAAGTAGACACCTGACCCTGAGCAGGTGCAGGTGTTGAAATGAGCATTTGAGTGAAAGAAGAGTTGTGGTAAATGGATGTGGGCAAAATATTGACATTCACTGGCACTTCTCTGATGGTTTAAAAACTATTTAAAGAGAAATTAAGGGACCTCTCATTTTTTCATTTTCTTCTTGTTAACTAGCCATCGAGTTCATGGATGTGCTTTCTGTTAAGTACTTGGTAAGGAAGAAATGCATATCACAGGGCTCCTGCTAACCAGACCTCCCTACTATCTTCTACCTGAGTAATGAGTAACATATTTTACATGAAAGTCAATTTAGGAAGAGAAAAATACATTTGGCTGGGGAGGGGTGGTGGATCTATGATTCTTTATTTGCTTTTCGTATTCAAAAATCCTCATGAGAATTCTTCCAACTTAAACTACCTACTTACTGTATTGAATAATAGAATGTCAAAAGGAAAATAACACTGCCTTTTAGCCACTAAGACCTAAATGTGGGCATGTTTGTGCAGTAAATATTGATAGCTTCTTGTGTTCATGCCTTGAATTTATATAGCACTGGGAAGTCCAACAATGAGTCACTTGTGTCATCTGATGTCAGCCACCAGTTTAGAGACAGATAATCTTATCTCATCCCTTGACAAAGAGAGATATGGAGATTCAGATGAACTGGGTCTAGGAAACAGAGTTGAGATTGCATTTAATGCAGTGTCCGGAGTACCTGCCCTGTGCCCGGGAGAGGGATGAGTGAGGCGGGCTTCTCTCCCATGGCATCCTGCAGCTCCTGTGGATGCAGAAAGTCCTGCTTGGGCAGGGCACAGCGAACCACCCAAAACTGAACAACCCCACTCACCCCATCCCCCCAGGGCCAGATGGCACTACTGCCTCACAGGATTCTTCCCTCCAGCCTCCAGAGTTAAGATGACCTAGTCCAGCCTGACCTCACATGCATGAGGAATGTTTTGTAATTTTTATATATTTATGTATAGGTCCTGCCATATACATATGCTGCCTAAATGTATACACATGATCACATGCATGCTTTGTACTTTTTTCCTTCCTTTTTCTATTTATCTCTAACCCTTCTCCCTCCTTTTACATCAGCTGTCAACCCCACAGCCCATAATATGTCTTCTTCCTTATCTATCTTTATACTTATACAGATCTGCATATTGCTTAATAATAATGAGATCATACATTAAATTTTCCGAAATGTACTTTTCTCCAAAGAAACTGAACAGTTCCTCCAGAAACCCCTCTAGCTCATCTGGCCGAGCTCCAATCCATCTTTTTTAATGGCTGCATAATACTCCCTGCAGTGACCATGTATTATTTACCCGGCCATTCACTGATAGTTATTCCTTTGTTTCCAGCTTTTTGTCATACTAAATAATACTGTATACATATGACTGTACACATTAATACTTTTAATTTTTCAGAAAAATTCCCATGTGTGGAATTTCTGATTAAATTTGTTGTTAAACAGTAGAAATTGTCAGATTGCTTTCCTAAAAGCCTTCATATCTCCACTGGTAATGCATGAGTGTACCCTTTTCTCTACCCCTCTTCCAGCTTTGGCTGATGGACCTCTTCATTTTTGTTACTGTGATGGATCTGAAATGAGATTTCATTATTACTTTAACAATACTCCCCTGAATATAAGTGATGTTATGCATCTTTTCACAAGTGTCCTGGCCATTTGACTTTATACTTAGTCCTTCACCTACTCATAATTCTTGCCTATTTTTTATTGGGTTTTTTGTCTCTTCCTTATAAGTTTGTGTGAGTTCTACATGTATTAGGTTTGTAGCTGAAGAGTTTAAGGCTTCATTTCCAAGCCGAGGTGGTTTACTGGAAGGCTTTGCTCCCTCTGCACTTAAAGGGGTTGTTGAAATGAGCTCAGGGACTGTTTAGCAGAGATAGGCAGGCCGTTATTGACAGGCAGTCCCAGACTGCTGGTCTCTCTTTAACTACTGAGTCTGAACAAAGATTGTATTGAGCCAGAATGTAGCTATGTGCGGAGGACTGAGAAGGTGAGGCAGTTCTGCACCGTGCTGCCTTCCGCTGGTTAAGACCTCCAAGAGAAAAGGCCTACCAAGGCAGAGGATGTCCCTCTGTCACCCTTGGAGGGACAGTGCTGAGCTGGCCGACATTTGTGGTGCTGCTTGTCCCTGGCTTAGATGTTCTACTAAGTCTAAAGGATTCGCCCATCAAAATTAGTGCTTCTCACCCTTGTCTCCACCTTCACTCTTACAAAAGATGGTGCCTGTGTCAGTGGCACTCCTCTAAGCATCCCAGATTTTGCAGACCCAGACTCATCTTGCAGGGGAGTAAAGCATGACAATAATTGGTCACTCTGGCACTTTTGGGGGGACTCTCAGACTTCGGCACAGGTAACAGAGTCTGTAAGTTATGTGCAATTTTCAATCCCAGCTCAAGAAAGCGTATCAGAATGCGAAGTGATAGTCTTGATACTACAGAAAAACTTTAAATCTCTTTTCATATATCCAGTAAAAGTAGGAATGCATTATACTATTCAGCCTATTTTTATGTATGTCTGATAGTTAAAGAAAGCTAGATTCAAATGTAGGAAAAAATGGTATTATAAACAAAGGAAAAAGAAGTGTAGAAATTTTTAAGATATAGATGGATAACAAAAAGCATTCCTAAGACTAAAATCTCATTCTTTTTATTAATCATAAGAAAAAAAATAATCCACCCTGACAGGTGTGGCTCAGTTGGTTGGGCATTGTCCTGCAAAGGAAAAGGTCGCCAGTCCTACTCCCAGTCAGGGCACACGCCTGGGTGGCAGGTTTAGTCCCAGGTTGGGGCACAGGCCAGAGGCAACCAATCGATGTTTCCCTCTCACACTGATGTCTCTCTCCCTGTCTTTCTCCCTCCCTTCCCCTCTCTCAAATAACTAAATAAATAAATTTTTAAAAATGGTTCTTGCAGTGGTCTCTAACTCCTCTCATTCTCCCACTCCCACTTTGGGGACTTCAGTAATTTAATTAATCTCTTGGGGGAAATCTAGCCTTTAATTTCTAAAGAGCTTTTATACTAATCGATCATCATGAGTAACCTTATTCAAATCAATGCCTGTTGGATCAGAAGATATGTAACTGGCTATTTCTTTTATTTAAAAAGACCTGGTACTTATCCTTTTTGCTTATTCTTGTAAATTCATTATCTTTTTTCAAAATGAGAGAGATATGTTAAATGCCATGACTTATCCTAAGTAGACTTGCTTAATGGGAAAGGAAATAATGAGGTTTAGTAAGTGGTAATTCATCTGTAACAAGGCTATTAGCAATTGAATTAAAATCTTAAAGTAAATTCTATTGATACTGCTACTTATTTCTCCTGTTCTCATGTTTGTCTTCTGTCATTCATCGTTGCATTTAATGAGATTCTGAAACGTTATCATCTCACTGCTGCTGGTTCAAATCCTGGCAGTATGAAGGAGCATTAGCAACCTCCCTGTGCAGCATCCTCCCAGCTTGGCCTTGACTTCCCCCCTGAAATAAGTTCTCAGATGAGTTCCAAGAGCCTGTCCTGTGTTCTCTCAGGATCTTTACACTTTCAAAGCAAGTCTGTCTGGAATCATGCATTTGGTTCTTTGTGAGGTTATTTCCTAAAGAATAAACTTCACCTCTCCCACCCCCCTTGTGCGATGGGTTATTGCAGTGGTAAATTGTTTTCCTAATGGAAGAGTCTTTGCAGTGATGGTCACCACGCAGTGTTTGGATCCCTTTGACACAGATATTTTGTTGGGAAAAGCAAGAAGCTATTCTTTTTCTTTACTTTTTTCTTAATTAAAAATATTGTCCAACCTATGTATCTTTCAAATACACAGAGAGGGGGACCAGTTAGTTGGCATGAGCAATGTGGAAAATCAATTTTATTTGCTATATGACTCAAACACTTACTTATTAAAGGGTCTGAAAAAGCGAACACCAGAGGGACATGGTGTTAACCAGTGTTTCTAGTTTCTATCTTTAAGGCTGTTTAATTGAATTTCTTCTACTCTGAATTTACTCCTAGTACTGTGGATTGTCCTTCAAAGCTCAGGGCTAATGCTGCACTGCTTCTGCCCGAGAACCTGGGTTGGCTGGAAACCCTGAGGCAATGGCAGGGACCTCAGTACCCTCAGGACATGGCCTGCCAACTAATTTAAAGGTAAAAGTTTAGAAAGTTGCTTTGTATATTGTTCTTTCCTAAATGTGCAAATTTTAAAATATTTTAATGGCTTTTAGTACTGTCGATTTTCTCATAAACATTGTTTTTAAAATCACAAAATGGTACACCTAAAACTAACATAAAATAATATTGAATATAAACTGTAATGGAAAAATAAAATTTAAAGTTTTTTTTTTAAAAATCACAAAATGAAGACACTTTTATCTTGAACAAAGTATCCTGTTGAAACTTTATTAAAAGGCTGTTCACTACTAGCACTTTCACCCCTGAAGTTTAAGAAACTAATTTTCCACTCCTAAAAGTCTTTTTCTGCTCATTTCTAAAGTTTACTCTGCAACACGGAAACTACAAAAGGGAACCTTGCTCTTATTATGGAAAAAAGAGACAATAACTTTTAAAAAATGTATTTATTTAATTGTTCAAATATAGTTTTCTGTCTTTTACTCCCATCCCAGCCTACTCCCCCAGTGACAATAACTTTTTAATAGGAGATCAGAAAAGACTAATTAAAAATATATATAGCGGACTTCCAGTCAAGATGGAGGAGTAGGTAAATGCTGTGTTCACCCCCTCTCATGACTACATCAGAATTACAATTAAATTATAGAATAACCATCACTGAGAACCATCTGAAGATGAGCTGAACAGAAGTTTTACCACTAAATGTATATAGAAGAAGCCACAATGAGACTGGTAGGAGGGACAGAGACATGGAGCAGGTAGGTCCCACACAAATAGCATGATGATCAAGAATCTAGAAGAATATCTCAGTTGTGGAGATCTCCTGTAAGGAGTGAGGGGTCCCAGCCACACAGTGAACTCCCCAGCCAAGTACACCAGCCCCAGAAAGAGGAGATCCCACAACATCCTGCTGTGAAAACCAGTGGGAATTACAGTCAAGAGAGATGTGGGGCTTCTGGTGACTCAAGCATCCTCTCAAAAGGCATGTACATGTATTCACTCACAAACTCACTTGTTATGGGTTCCAGTGCAAGATCAGCGGCCCCCCAAATGCTAGAGACATATAGGGAGAAACTAAATTGACTAGCTTCGGGGCAAGGGCAAGAGGGTCAGAGATCAGGGCAACTCCCCAGAATGGAAGTGCTAGCAGGAACCATTGTTCCTGGGCTGAGCAATCCTCCCACCAAGCCCGCAATGCAGGCAGGTACCAAATCTGTGCTCTCCATGAACCTGGCTAACACCACCCAGCCCTGCTGATTCCCTGAGATGCCACCCCAACCAAGCCACCTAAGCCACATCCAGTGGCTTTTGCACATGAGTGGGCTGCCTTGGCTAATACTGTGAACTTTCCTGAAACTTCTCAAAGATCCACAAAACCCAAACAAACAGCAGCTGGCCTCAGTGTGCTTCTCTACCTCTTGCTTCCCCAAGCCCAGCACAAAGAACAACTGGTTTCAACTTGCATTGTAACTCTTCTCATCATGTGACCACAATCCTTACATAAGCTGCAGCCAGTGTTTGGAACATAACTTCAGCGTAGGGGCCACAGCCTGGAAAAAGTGGTGGCTGACTTCAATGCCCACCCAAGGGTCCCCACCGCAGCACTACTGGCAGCTGGCCTCAGTTCATAGCATAGCCTCTCCCAAGCATGTCCAAGCCAAGCACAAGTAACAGCTAATCACAGATCACTTTGTAGCTCCCACCAGACATCCCCAAGCCTGGAAGAAATGGAAGCTGATCTTGGTCTGCACCAGAGTCCTCCCAAGAGGCTCCATCACCAACACATGGTGGCTGGTTTCAGACCACACAGAGAACTACCCATGCAGCTCCACAAACAACATATCCAAAGGGCAGACTCAGCTGGCACCAGAGCCACACTAAAGTGACTCCCACCTCATGGGGTCAGCCCCCACTCAAGAGCCTGTCCACTGTGGTCATGGTGTGGCCCTCAGCCTGATGGTCAGTTCCACCCACTAACATGCCACCAGCAATCGAGGTTCACTATAACAGGAGGAAACACACAACCTACACAAGGGACACTCCTGGAGTGCCAGCTCAGGGGACCAGGGAGACTGCAGCACTGGTACCCACAGAACACCTACTACACAAGGCCACTATAACAAGACTGGGAGATGTAGCAGATCTACATACACAGAAACAAACACAGGGAGTCAGCCAAAATGAAAAGATGACAAGACATTCCAAATGAAAGCACAGGACAAAACTCCAGAAAAATAACTAAACAGAATGAAGACAAGCAGTCTACTACAGACAGAATTCAAAATAGGAGTTATAAGGATGCTCAGTGAACTTGAGGGAAAAATAGATGAACTCAGTGATAACTTCAAAAAGGAGATGGAAACCATAAAAAAACGAATCAAATGAAGAATACAATATCTGACATGAAGAATACACTAGAAGGAATCAACAGGAGGATAGATGAAGCAGAGGACTGAATCAGTTATCTGGAAGACAAGGTAGCAGAAAACAATCAGAATAGCAAAAAAGAAAAAGAAGAATCCCCCAGCCAAAGTGCATAGTTTAAGGGACCTCTAGAACAACATCAAGTATACTAATATTTGCATAGTAGGAGTTCCAGCAGGAGAAGAGAGAGCAAGAAACTGAAAACCTACTTCAAACAATAATGACTGAAAACTTCCCTAATCTGGTGAAGGAAATAGATATACAAGTCCAGGAATGCAGAGTCCCAAACAAGATGAACGCAAAGAAGCCCAAATGCCAAAGATTAAAGACAAACAGGAGTCTTAAAAGTAGCAAGAAATAAGCAGTTAGATACCTACAAGGGAGCACCCATAACACTGTCAATTGATTTCACAACAGAAACTTTGCAGGCCAGAAGGAATTGGCACAAAATTTTCAAAGTGATGAAAAAACCCCCAACCATACAACTAAGATTACTCTACCCAACAGAGCTATTATTTAGAATTGAAGGAGAGATGAAGTCTCCCAGATAAGAAAAAAACTAAAGGAGTTCATCACTACTAAACCAGTATTAAAAGAAATGTTAAAGGGACTTCTATAAGTAGAAAAAGAAAAATCTAAAATATGAATGAGAAAACAGAGGAAAGAAAAATATTTTCACTGACATACAGTAAAAGCAATGGGTCAAACAACTCTAAAGCTAGTATTAAGTTACAAAGCAAAAGTGGGGAAAACATGTATTTATAATAGTAAATTAAGGGATACCCACACACACACACAGAAGTAAAAAATAATGACAAAAACAAACACGGAGGGGTGAGTATAAAGTGAAGTGATTTTAGAATGTGTTTGAACTTAAGCAACCATCAATTAAAATTGACTACTATGGAGTTGGCCAAAAGTTCGTTTACTTTTTTCCATACAATGGCTCTAGTAGTACTTAGTGTCTTTAACTTTATTCAAAACAATTGTTATACCGTATTGTGACAGCTGTCATATCAGTGTGAATTTAAAAAGAAATATCAAAATTGGTGAATTTTTGTGCAGCCATTTCAATATTGAAAATGGAAGAAAATAAGTGACATTTGCAGTGTATTATACCTTATTATTTCAAGAAAGGTAAACACAAAAAAGATCTGTGCGGTGTATGGAGAAAGTGCTGTGACTGGTTGAATGTGTCAAAAGTGGTTTGCAAAGTTTCTTGGTACTATTAATATGTTAGCCAAATAATTCTTTGCTGTGGGCTGTCTTATGCATTGGAAAATGTTTAGTAGCACCCCTGGCCTCTACCCACTAGAAGCCAACAGTGGAAGATAACTGACACTCAAAATATCCAAATCAATAAAATTAGTGAAGATTAAAAAATGTGTCTTTCATTTACAGAAAAAAAACTAAACAGACCTTTTGGCCAACCCAACATAAACATATCTTGATATATATGACAAACGCATGGTAGTCACAAACCAAAAATCTACAAGAAAGAGAGAGAATGGAATCCAATATTATAACACTCTAGAGAGTCATCAACATGCAAGAGACTAAGGAAGGAACAGAACTACAGAAATGATCAGAAAACAATAAAATGGCAATAATGACATACCTATCAATAATTACGTTAAATGTAAATGGACTAAATGCTCCAATTAAAAGACATAATGTGAATAAATGGTTTATTAGAAAACCAAGACCTATACTAATGCTGACTATACAACCCTCCATGGATGAATCAGGGAGAAAAAAGCAAAATGTAAAGACTTTAGATTGAAAGACACACACAGACTCAAAGTAAAGGGATGGAAAAAGATATTTCTTGCAAGTGGAAAAATTTTTTAAAAGACTTTATTTATTCATCTTTAGAGGGGAAGGGAAGGAGAGAGGGAGAGAAATATCAATGTATGGCTGCCTCTTGTGTGTCCCCTGCTGGGAACTGGCCTGCAACCCAGGCATGTGCCCTGACTGGGAATCAAACCGTGGTTGCTTGATTCCCAGGCCCGCGCTCAGCAAGCGGAAATTTTCTTGAAACTGGGATAACAATACTTAGACAAAATACACTTAAAATAAGGGCTGTGATAAGGGGTAAAGAAGTGCATGTCATAATGATAAAGGGATCAATACAACAAGAAAATATAGCTTTCATTAATATCTATCTACACACCCAACATAGGAGCACCTAAATATGTAAAGTAAATATTGTTGGACATAAAGGGAGACATCAACAGTAATACAGTAATAGTAGGGGACCTCAACAGCCCATTGACATCAATAGGTAGGTCATCCAAACAGAAAATCAACAAGAAAACAGTGGCCTTAAGTGACACATTAGACAAGATGACTATACATTCTTTTCAAGTGCACCTGAAACATTTTTTCCAGGATGGACCACATGTTAGAAAATACTACAAACAATTATATGCCAACAAATTGGACAAATTTGAAGAAATGGGTAAATTCCTGGGAACATAAAACCCTCCATGGATGAATCAGGAAAAAACCCCAAAACCTAAAGACACTGATAACTACTACTGAAATCAAACCACTAATCGGTAAACTCCCAACAAACAAAAGCCTCTGACCAGGAGGCTTCACAAATGAATTTTATAAAACATTCAAAACATATCTAGCCTCAAAATATTCCATAAAATTGAAGAGGAGAGAAGCCTCCCAAATTCATTTTATGAAAACAGCACTACCCTGATACCAAAACCAAAGACACTTGAAAAACAAAAAAGAAAATTATAAGCCAATATCCCTGATGAATATAGATACAAAAATCCTCAACAAAATATTAACAAATCAAATTCAGTAATACATTAAAAATATCATACACCATGATCAATTAGGATTTATTCCCAGCACGTGAGCTTGGTTTAATAGCTACAAATCAATTAACATGATATAGCACATAAAAAATGAAGAATAAAATCATATGATCATATCGATGTATGCAGAAAAAGCATTTGACAAAATCCAACATTCATTTATGATCAAAACTTTCAGCCAAGTGAGAATAGAGGGAATATACCTCAACATAGTAAAGGCCATATATGACAAACCCACATCTAACATCATACTCAATAATAAAAAGCTAATAAAAGTGTTTTCCTTACGATCAAGAACATGACAAAGATGTCCACTTTTACCACTTTTACTCAACATAGTAGTGAAACTCCTAGCCATGGCAATTGACACTCCCCCCCCCAAAGAAAAGCAATAAACGCATCCAAATTGGAGAGGGAAAAAACTGTCATGTACAAATGGCATGATACTATATACAGAGAACCCTAAAGAGTCCACTAAAAATCTATTAGAACAAATAAGTGAATTCAGTAAAATAAGAGGATACAAAATTAATTTTCAGAACTGAATTGCATTTTTATACACCAATGACAAACTATCAGAAAAAGGAATTAAGGGATGAATCCCATTTATGTTTATATCAAAAAGAATAAAATGCCTAGGGATAAGTTTTTAATCAAGGAGGTAAAAGACATGTATGTGGAAAATTATAAAACATTAAAGAAACTGAAGAAGATACAAATCAATGGAAGAATATACAGTGCTCATGGATTAGCACCATTAAAATGTCCACATTACCCAAAGCAATATACAGATTCAATGCAATCTCTATCAAAATACTAATGACATTTTTCATAGAAGCTGAACAAATAATCCTAAAACTTACATAGAATCATAAAAGATCCCAAATAGCCAAAGCAATTTTGATAAAAATAAATAAAGTTGGAGATATCACCTGACATGATATCTAACTATACTATAAGGGCATAATAGTCAAAGCAGCATGGAATGGGCATAAAAACAGACACATGGATCAATGGAACAGAATAGAGAGCCCAGAAATAAACCCAAGCCTATATGGTTATTTAATACATCATAGCAGAGAAAAAATATACAATGGGGTAAAGGGAGTCTATTTAATAAATGGTGTTCAGAAAACTGGACATATACATGCAAAAGAATGAAACTGGATCACTTTCTTACACCATATGCAAGGAAAAAAATCAAAATGAATTAAAGACTTAAATATAAGACCTGAAACTAAAACTCCTAGAAGAAAACTTAGGTAGTAAACTCTCTTAATGTAGCATTTAGTGATTTTTTTTTGTACATGTCTCCTTGGGAAAAAGAGAAACGAAAAAATAAACATAGGAGAGTACTAAAAAAATCTTCACAATGATGGAAATTATCAACAAAACAAAAAGACAACCTACTGAATGGGAGAAGATATTCACGAGACACATCCAATAAGGGGTTAATACCCAAAATATATAAAGTACTTATACAAATTAACACACACATGCACAAACAATCCAACTGAAAAATTGTTAGAGGACATGAACAGATATTACTCCACAGAGGACATAGAGATGACCAATAGACATGAAAAGATGTTCAATATCACTAATCATCAGGGAAATGCAAATTAAAACCACAATGAGATATGATCACACCCCTGTCAAAATAGGTATCATCATAAATAAATAACAAGTGATGATGAGGATGTGAAGGAAAAGGAATCCTTGTACATTATTGGTACTGTAAATTGGTGCAGCTACTATGAAAAACAGTTTGGAGGTTCCTCAAAAAAATTAAAAAATAGAACTACGACATGACCCAGCAAGCCCACTTCTGGGTATTTATCCAAAGAACTCCAAAACACTAACTCAGAAAGATATATGCATCCTTATTTATTGCAGCATTACTTACATTAGCCAAGATATGGAAGCAAGTTAAGTTTCTGACAATGGACAAATGAATAACAATGAAATTTGCCATTTGTGACAACCTGGATGGACCTAGGGGATCTTATGCTAAGTGAAATGTCAGATAGAGAAAGAAATACCATATGATTTCACTGATATGTGGAATCTAAAGAACAAAGTAAACAAAACAGAAACAAACTAATAGATACAGAGAACTTTTTTTCCCCAGGGAACATTTTTGTGGTTGCAAAGTAGGAGGGGAGTTGTGGAGATGGGTAAAAAGGTGGGAAGGGATTAGGATGTGCAAATTGCTTCTTATAAAAACAGTCACAGGAGTATAAGGTACAGCATGCAGAATATAGTCAGTAATATTGTAATAATTGTGTATGATGTCAGGTGGGTACCAGAGTATTCAGGGTGCTCACTTCCCAAGTTATGAAAATGCCTACTCACTATGTTGCACACCTGAAACTAATATAACATCATATGTCAGTCAACTTTAATTGAAAAATAAACAAATTTTAAAACTAATATATGCACATAGCACTTACATAGCTAGTTCTTTTCATTTAAGAAGCTTGGTGTCCCAATTTTAGTGTCAGTACTCATTAGCTTGGGACCCATTTCTAAGAGAATTCTTAGTTAAGAAAAGAGGGCTGAACATTTTTAACATTTTTTTCCTGAGGAATCAATAATTAATAATACTGAAAAAGGAAACCCAAGTATCTACCAAAAACTAACGGTAGAATTTTTAGCTGTAATAAAGGAAGGCATGGTTTCTTCACAGGCTAACTATAATTGTAGAAGTTGTTTGAGTGGTGTATATCTCTCTCTCTGTAAAATTTGTTGTTATTCTTACCTCTTCTCCCCTCTTGTATGCAGATGCTGCAAAAAGGATGAGGAGGGACGAATTGGTGTTGACCATGGAAGAGACCGGTGGGCAGGACAATGTAGCTACGCTGGGCAGCCCTTTTCCTGGCCTGGAGCCGGCGCCTGCGGGCCGCCTGGGGGCGCCATATTCCGAGGCCTGGGGGTACTTTCACCTGGCCCCGGCGCGGCCTGGACAGCCGTCAGGCTACTGGGCCACCTGCCGGCTGTGCGGGGAGCAGGTGAGCCGAGGCCCGGGCTTCCACGCGGGGACCCCGGCGCTGTGGAGGCACCTGAAGAGCGCGCACCGGCGCGAACTGGAGAAGAGCGCCGCACGCCGCTCACCGCCACCCAAGCCCGGCCCTGCTGCGGCCGCAGAAGGCGACTGGGCGCGCTTGCTGGAGCAGATGGGCGCGCTGGCCATTCGGGGAAGCCTGAGAGAGCGTGAGCTGGCGCGGCGCGAGGCAGCTGTGGAGCAGGGCGAGCGCGCCCTGGAGCGGAGGCGCAGGGCCCTGCAGGAGGAGGAGCGAGCTGCGGCCCAGGCGCGGCGCGAGCTACAGGCCGAGAAGGAGGCGCTGCAGGCGCGGCTGCGGGAACTGAGCCGTCGCGAAGGCGCCTTGACTACCGCTCCGCTGCAGACTCCTCTCAAAGAGGAGCCCGAGGGGGAGAAGGACGGCTACATGATCACTAAGGTCCAGCTGTAGGTTTGGGTCGCTCCCGCCACTCCATGCCAGCGGTACTCCAAGTGTGGTCCACGGACCAGTGTCTTAAGCCTCACCTGGGAGCTGAATCTCTGGCCCGCTGCCTCCTAGTGAATCGGATCTCCAATGGGAGGCCTTGAAAAGCGCTTGAGGCCTGAACAAAACCAAAAATCATTTCCATCCTGGGGTCATCTGGGGTGCCTGAGAGCGCAGGCTCCAGCTGCCCCCTTGCTGTTGGCATTTAGTGGGCATCGTGCAGGGAGCCGTTTCCCTCCTAATGCCTTTGGGAATGATAGCTCCAGCCGCCCATGGAACCTTAATCTCCCCTGGCCTTCCACCTGATGACTCTAAAAGGACAGAAGCTTCCTTACACACCAAAGACTACCACACCACGTGCCTGTACACCAGCTGGGACAACCGAGGGTAGAGGGTCCATGGACATAATGGTAAAGCATTTTATCTGAAAGGAAGAATTTTAATCATTTCCTAGTAAGTAAATCTTTGATGAGCAATCTTTGCCCAGCATCAAGTTCAGAAAAGGGGGCCCACTCAGTTTCCACAACTGCTCTTTACCCTCATTATCTCTTGTGCCTTGGCATAGCAGTCCCGAGAAGCCCTCTGTTTACTCTTCTCCCCAGTTTGCACAATACCAAGTGCACCTTGTTCTGTTTCATCTCAGCCGCTTTCTATCCCATTTCAGACCCATTGGCAGCTGTGGTCAATGTCCTCACTTTCTGCCTCACACCTGCCTCATTACCAGGAAAACATGACTTTATCCTTCATTGCTACGAAGAGCACTTCCTTCCCCACCTGACTCCAGTGCCCACTTTTGGGTCAAAGGCAGCATCCCTCGCACCTGAGGGAACCTCCTTTTATGTTTACATCCATTCCTTTTCCACCTTCACTGGCTCTTTGCTCCATTCGTGTTCCTCTGTTCCCCTTATTCCCTTCTGTTTCCCCACACTTCCTCTTTCTCAGAAATGCCCAGTTTCCCTTGCACTGAAAAGAATGAATTCCCCAGCCTGGATGCTGTCAGCTGAACCACCGTCCAACAGAGGTGGTCCTACCTATTCTTCCTCCCTGTTCTTTGTCTCCTCCATTCGATGGTCAGCTTTCCATGCTACACTGGATTCTTCAGGGCCACCTTTATCCCCTAGTGGCTAAATACAATGATTTACTCAAACTTCATTTTGCTTAATCTCTCCCTTCGTGAAATTTCTCCTTTGGTAGGGGGAACCTACTTTTCCTGTAGAGAATTCCTTTTCATGATAGACTGGTTCCTTAACGATTTTTCTTAGGTCTATTTTTTTCTCATATTTTTATATACTGAAAATTTTGAAGCATCCAGAAGTAGTTGAAAGACTAATGCAATGAATATCCGTATCTCCCCTCCACCTGAACTCAACAATTGTTAACATTTTGCCATATTTACCTTTTCTTCCCTACACCCCACACATACCTGACATTTCATCCCCAAGTATTTTAGTATGTATTTGCTAAGAATGAAGACATTGTTCTACATGATTACAGTGCAATTATCATACCTAAGGATATAAACAATTTCCTAACAGCCTCTAATATAGACTCCTTAATCAAAATTCCCCAATTGTCCCAAGAATGTCTAATCTTTATTTAAAAAATAGGCTCCATCGTTACTATATTACTTTTGACTATAACCCTTTTATAATCTTTTATTCTAGAACATCCCCCTTACTTTTCCCCCCTGACACTGTTTAAAGAGTCCCAGCCATCTGCCTTACAGACTGTCCTACATCTGTACTTGTCTGCTGAGGCCAGAGTCTGCGCTCATTCTCAGTTCATCTACTGGTAAGAGCCACAGTAATCACCTCTGGGCCCATGGCTCCTGAACACTTCCAGCGTGGTGTTCTGCCCCACCCCAAACCCTGGCCTTTCATATCTAATTCCCTGCTGCATGTTTCCATTTCTACTTGTAAAACTGCCAATACAGATGGAAAGGACAAATCTATTCAATGCCACACCCCTACCCCTTGTCTTTCCTGGACTCTTAAAATGTACCACGTACATACATACTTTACATACATTCTTATGTTATTATAGCAGCTCCACAAGGAGGTATTAATATTGGGTTGGCTAAAAAGTTCACTTGTTTTTTTCCATAAGATGGCCCTAGTAGCACTTAGCTTTTAACTTCATTCAAAACAATTTTGTTAGACTGTATTGTGAAAGCTGTCATATCAGTGTGTATTTTTTAAAACTTATCAAAACTTATCAAAGTTTTTATGTAGTTAATACTGATGATGGAAGACATATGCAACATTTTAGGCATATTATGCTTTATTGTTTGAAGAAAGGTAAAAACACAACTGAAACATACAAAAGATTTGTGGAGAAAGTGCTGTGACTGATCAAACATGTCAGAAGTGGTTTGCAAAGTTTCGTGCTGGAGATTTCTCTCTGGATGATGCTCCATGGTCAGGTAGACCAGTTGAAGTTGATAGCAATCAAATTGAGTCATTAATTGAGAATTAATGTTATACCATGCAGGAGACAGCCAACATACTCAAAATATCCAAATCAATGAAGTTACTGTTGAAAATGAGAAACGTGTCTTCTCCAGAAAACACTAAGAACTTTTTGGCCAACCCAATAATATGCCTGTTTTACAGCTAAAGAAATTGACATGGAAAGGAGTTAAGTAATTTGTACAAGAATGCAGCTGTTAAGTAGCCGAGCTGAGATACAAATCCAGTCTTCACCTCCAGATGCCAGGCTCCTACCGGCTGTACTGTCACCCTTATTACTCAGTCACCTGGCTGACACACCTGTTTCCTTTCTAACTCCAATTCCAGGTCGAACCATCAGTGACATTAGGAGGAACTAAACATTCACCGTGTGCCAGGGCCACGCTAAATGCTTTACAAGAATAACTGTCTATCCTGCAGCAGCCCCATGACATAAGTGCTCTTAGGCCCATTTTACAGAGGAAGAGATAGGCTCAGGGGAGCTAAGTAATGTCTTTCGAGTCACATGACTACTAAGAGACAGAATAGGACTTGAACTCTGGTCTCACAGAATCCTAGACCACTAAGCTACTGAGTCATCACATGTGTCTTCCTTAAGATGCCGCCTGTCAAACTCAGGCCCCATTTATCAGTCATCTGGGGTTCATCTTCCTGTCCTTGTCCTATCCAACTGTCCCCTACCTGACACTCACCTAGGCCAGAAGAATTGTACTGAGCCAGTGCTGGTATCACTTTTCCTGCTCAAAAGCCCCCGAGGATCACCTATCATCTACAGGTTCAACTCTGTGGCCTGACCTCCCAATCCACCCACCCTGGCCAGGCTAAGGTGTCCCCTCCCCTACCTATTCTCCAGCCAAATCGGACTCCTTGTTCTTCCTGACATGCCCTGGTCCTCGTGCCTCTCTGCCTCTGTTCACCCTCCCTCTACTTAAAAATCGCATTAACTTTTGAGTATGAAACATCCACTCATTTTTCTAAGATCAAGCCCAAATTTGACTGCCTGCATGAAGCTCTCCTTGGTAACTCATTGTTTACAGATGATTCCTTACTTCACTGGACTCTTATCACATTTTGTATCTCATGACCTTTAGAACAGGCCATCTAGTGCATGGCTAGGTGGGTTCTCTGCCAGACCCTGAGCCCTTGGAGTTCAGTCACCCTTCTATGCCCACAATGCCTTGCAGAAAATAGCTGCTTAATAAATATTTGAGGCATCAAATCCACTCAATGTGTTTAAAATTTTTATGGGTTAGTTTTCTCATAATTATTAACATATCTATTCATTTAGTTCTCTAAGTAGAATTTACAACAAAAAATAACCTAAAATGAAATTGCAGTAATGATTTTTTTAAGCTGCCTAGTCAGTAAAAGTTAATTAGTATCAGTTATTGGGCTGTTTTGATTTGAATCCAATCAACTACTCTAGCATGTCATTATCAGAAATGATTCTCTTAAAAATATTTTTTTCATTACTGAAGTAATACAAGTGCAATGCCCCAATCTGGGGAGAACAGCAGGAAAATCATCAACCACCCACCCCACACAGTCCTGTGAACTTGGTAAAACTGCTAATCACATGTTTATGCATTTTATTCTCCCTTTGCAATTTTCACATTTCTCTAATAATAGTAAAAGTTATTTCTCTTAAGTACTGACATTTAACTTCTTTATGTGGATTTATAAGTTCGATATAAGGTTTGAATTTGGACTTCTTAGCAGGAAAAAAAAACTTTTACAAATGTCACTCTTCTATTGAGTTGGCCAAAAAGTTCATTTGGTTTTTTCCATAAGATGGTTCTAGTAGCACTTAGTTGTCTTTAACTTCATTTGAAACAATTTTGTTAGATTTTTATTGTGACAGCTGTCACATCATGCACGTTTAAAAACAAAAGAAATATCAAAATTGAATTTTTTGCAGCCATTTTAATATTGAAGATGTAAGAAAATAAGCAATATTTTGGGCATATCATGATTTTTTAATTCAAGAAAGGTAGAAGCACAACTAAAACACACAAAAAAGACTTGTGCCGTGTATGGAGGAGGTGCTGTGACTGCCTGAACCGTCTCAAAAGTGGTTTGTGAAGTTCCACGCTGGAGACTTCTCTCTGGACAATGCTCCATGGTCGGGCAGACCAGCTGAAGTAGACAGCGATCAATGTTTCTACCATGAAGGAGATAGCCGACATTCTCAAAATATCCAAATCGATAGTTATTGGTAAAAATGAAAATAGTATCTTTGTTTTACAAAAAAAACTGTCCAGACTTTTTGGCTAACCCAGTATTTCATCAATTGTTAGAACTGTTAAAACAGGCAAAGATTCACTTTTGGAATCATAATCACTCCCTCAAGAAAGAGAGCCAGTGAGAACGGGATGGCTCTGCAGGGACAGGCGGTGGGGCGGGCAGGGTGGAGAACATCAGCCTGACTGCTGACTGCTGGCCGTGGGAGGGAAGGGAAGGCATTCTGCTTTCTGCTTTCTACACCACTGCAATTTCGTAGCAGAATATAAAATTACTTACATTTTGCAAATGAAGAATCCTCACTATTTGCACTCAGCTTCCTCAATTAAAATAAAATCTTCAACACAAGGACTGATATAATCCCCACTTCCAGAAAAGCCTAGAAGGAAATGTGGCCCTTATGCAGCCCAACCCCATCATTTGACAGAGACAAGAGTCCCAGGGTGCCTTGTCTGGTACCAAGAGATAGTGGCCATGGCAGTTCACGTGACTCCAGCCTCCTGAACAGGTTCTGCCCCCTTGGGTGTGAGTGCTCTGCTGGCAAAACACAGGAACTATCAGGACCAACCAGATGAGCTGGCATCTGGATGTCAACCCAACTGGGGGAGTGCCCAGGTAGGTTCTGGGAATTGCTTTGGCCTCCTGGCTATGGCCTTGTCTGCTCACAGAGTTGTCACTACTGATGGGTGACAGTGATACGCCTCACCTATAGTAGCAGGGCTTCCCTGATCTATGTGCCTGGACTTGCCAATGGCAGCACCCAGGTGCTGCCTTTGAGAGCAATGCATGCATTGCATTAACGAGGTGGATGGCTGGGACTGGGGTGCAGACCGCCCTGAACCTAGCTCAGCTCCTGCCCTAATGCCACTTTGGGTTGAAATTTGGCATGGAGAGGGGGTATGGGTACATCAGGGCAATGACAACCAAGCCTGAAAGAGTTAGGGCCCTTTAGGCACCTACATTTGTCATCCTTGGGGGTTGGAGAAGAAAAGGGTTTGGCTTGCTTTGGGCTGAGTTTCATGTCCATGAAATAGCTGTCCAAGTCTCTTAGTATTTCAGAATAGACTCCAAAACATCGGGCTTTGTTTTGCTGCCCTGGAGTCATTAGGGAAGTCTATTGCTGAGGGCTTGAACTTCTTGCCTTTCTACAACTGGCCTCTTCCTTTGGAAAATGGATGAGGTGACTGTTAAGGTCCCTTTTGACTTTATAGTGCTATGGTGACATGAAATACAGTGAAACATCAATTGACTTCTGAGTGAATGAATCAGTTGCTCTGCTGAATTGGATTCTCTTGTCAACTGGAGATTTAGAAGAAAATGTTGAAAGTCACATATGTACGATTATTAAAAATAGTAATTGTGTATCAAGCTGCTTTTTCCACAGCACTGAGGTACGGACCTCTCAGATTCACACTTAGAACTGAAATGTGGGCAGCAGTGATCGGCATGGGCTCCCTCAGTATACACTTTCTGTGCTCACAACACCACAGGTGGGGTAAATGCCCACATTTTACAAACGAGACCCCACTCTTCAACAAGGCCAAGTGGCCTGCTGAGGACCACACAGCTAGCAAGTAGCAGACTGGAGCCTGGAGCTCCATCCATGGATCCTGGTCAGATCTGGGGCCAAACAGTTAAGCTTCCTCCCAGGCCTCTCTTCTGGCCCATCTCTTCATCGGGGCTAAGACTTCTGGGTCCTGGCACGAGTGCCTGCCAACACTTGGGTCGCCGGTGGCTATTTCCCACCCACCTAGTTCTGGGTACCAGCCAGCTCTCCCTGGGGAAGCAACAATGGCCTCTGCATTAGTTTCCTGTTGCTGCTGTACCGAATTGCCACAAATTTTGTGGCTCAAAACAACATAAATTTATCTTATAGTCCTGCAAGTCAGGAAATGATCTCAAAGTGTTGGCTCTCTTAAGGCTCTGTGAGAATCTCAGATTCTCAGTGTTTTTTGCCTCTTTTGGCTTCTAAAGCATGGGGTTTCCCACATGCGTTGGGCTTGTGGCCCCTTTCAGCAAGGGCCAGCCATTCTCACATTGCATCTCTAGGTCTCCCTCTTGCACATTAGAAGAACACTCTCCTAACCTCACGGTTAGACTTAATATGTTAATTCTCCCCTGCCAGGTAACATACTGAAAGCTTCCCAGGATTAGGACAGACATGGAGAGAGGGTGGTAACCCTGCTTACTGCAGCACCAGACTGCCGGGCACAGGTCTGGGAGGGGGTGTGAGAGGTGCTTATGGGCCCCTTTCCCAGAAATCAGTACTTCAGTGGGGATCCTAATATTTCCCCCTTACATTTCATCATCTTTGCCCCTGTGGGCACCACTCAGACTCTTCTGGGACATACCTGGAGGGCAGGTGTGAAACATGCCTCTGGGGGAAACTGGAGGCCTCCGTTGTTCTGAGGATACTGGTGAATTTCTGCACTAACAAGGATCCTGTTGACCAGGAAGGCCAGGTGGTGATGTCTGTGGAGGTGAACAAGCTTTTGGAGTCAGATGTTTCCAACTACACATGTGAAGTGTCACCATGGCAACCACTTTAAGCCCTCTGAAATCCCGTTTCCTTGTTAGGAAAATGAGGACAGTACATACCTTAAAGGGTTGTTGAAGATTAAGCACAATATTATGCTGACATATAGTTGAAACCCAGTCACTATGACTTCTAGTTATCTAAATGCTTAGTGGACATGTGGTCCTGTGCAAAACGCCCAGGGAGACATCCAGTCCACACCCAGCAGCCCTTGAGATGTGGTCCAGTCAAAACTGCCCATAAGCATATATGGTCCCTGTTTTGGTCCTGTCAAAACATCCATGTTTCGCAAACACTCCTAGGTTCAAAGAGCCCATAATGTTTATTTATACATTTGGTTTACAGGATTCATACATTTTTTTACTGGCCCAATAATTCTGCAGTAGCTCTACTGCCAATAGCCTATCTTGCCTCGGTAACCTAGCCAGCCATACATAGCTCCTGGGGTTAAATAGATGGGTTGGTGTGAACCAAATGTCTCCATGGATGTTCTGGTACAGGACCAAATATCAAGGACATTTTGGCAGGGACCAAATGTTGACATGGACATTTTGGATGGAACCAAGTGCCCTGCAAGGACCTGAACGGGAGTTCAAAACCAGTCCAAAGAATCTCAGAGAGAGCAGCTTCCCTGGGGTGATTCCTGAGAACAGATGCACACAAATCACGAAGGTTTGCCAGGCCATTTCTCTTCGTGATAGAGACATTTTCCTGTCAAAACATGATTTCCAACTTAATTTGCCAAATGAGCTACCCTGGTCACAGCTCAACACGACTTGTGACTACAAAGTAACCTTACCAATCTCACAAGTAACTATGTCAGCACCTTCCCATCTAAGTACTTTCCCTGCAAAGTAGTCACACTGGGAGATACAGTGACTCCCCCAAATGCTTCCATGCTTAAACACTTCTGGAACCACTCTTTAAGAGTAGTTCTCCCAGTTGCTGGCACGCTCTTTAAAAAACATCTTTAAGCCCTGGTTGGCGTGGCTCAGTGGATTGAGTGCTGGCCTGTGAACCAAAGGGTTGCCAGTTCGATTCCTAGTCAGGGCACATGCCTGTGTATGGCTGGGCCAGGTCCCCAGCTGGGAGCACGTGCACAAGAGGCAACCACACACACTGATGTTTCTCCCTCTCTTTCTCCCTTCCTTCCCTTCTCTCAAAAATAAATAAATAAATAAATCATTTAAAAAAATCCTTAGTTGGCAAATACTCATTTTTCCAGGAAAAAATGTGATTTTTTAAAAGAGCTGACAGTTATTCAGACCCCACTCCGGTGAATGTGGTAGATGATTAATCAAATTAACTTTTCTGGATAATATAGTATGATTATCATAAATCAACAGTAACGATTTTTTGTGAGGCTCATAAACTGGCCCTGATAGTGTTATATATTAAGGTTAAGGTAGCATGGTCATTGTGATGTGAATGAATTCAGAGAGCACTAGGAGTCATTACATATTGAAATAACATTGAATGTTTCTTTTTCCGAAGACCATAATTATGACATTCTCTGAGATCTGATTTCACAGTACTAAAATGAAGACTAAGGAAAAGCACTAAATGCTAATGGACGCTTTGTTATTTCAGTATATATTCTCCTGGGCCTTTGGGCACAATAAGTAATGACCAAGATGAGTGCGCCAGCAACCCTCCTGGCCTCTGAAGTCTACTAGTGATCGGAAGCTAAGCAACGCACTGCCATGTGTTAAAATACATTGAATAATATTCCACCGATTTGTCCCTGTCTTTTGCTTTCTGGGCAATGAAATACCATGGCATTTCTACATAGACAAAAAAGCTAGCTTTTTGCTACAAAATTTCTAGAAGATCATCCTTACTCAGCAGGCAGAAGACATTGTTTGCCTCCATTCACATGAACTTTGCAAAACGCATCTGCTCCTCATTCTCTGCAAAGTTTCTGATTTATATATTCTCCATCAGCTCCAATCCAGTGACCTGATTCGTGTAGCATTTTTTTTGTACTTCAATGATCTATTGGTTAGACTTCGAACCACAAAACCCAAACGTCCGAGCAGGCAGAGCTATTGTTATTTTCAGGTAATGAGGAGAAATACATAACAAAATGAGGGGCTGCAGCATCACTAAGGGGCACACATTCAAATCCCTCAAAACCATGACTATGATCTTTTTGAAGGCAGAGTTTATAAGATCACCCTAAAAAGGTCTGAAGATCTGAAAACATTAAACAATAACGACAAACCAAATTGCCCCTTCCTCCTCTACCCTAAGAACTTCTGGCTTGTGAAAAACCTTTTAAATGAATAAAAACTATTTTAGATTAATACTCTTTTGGGAACTACTGAGACCTTCATTGACTACATGACGTTTACATTCTACCAAATAGTATCTAAGAAATAAATGTAAGCTCCAAGAATGCAGGAAGTCTTACCCAGTTTGTTTCCTACTATATCCCCAAGTGCTGAGAATTGTGCCAGGCCTGTATAAAGCACCTCATGGATACCTGCTGTATGAATGCATGCTGTTGAAATATCTTCACGTAAGAGTGTCTGAAATCTAGTTCTCAGAGTTTTCCCTGCAGCTCCTTGCTCCCACAGGGAACTGAGAACCAGGGGGAGCTTGCTAGGTCTCCCTGCTAGGCCTCCAGACAGCTCCTCTTTCCAAGTCATGCAGAATCTATCCCTCCTTTGAGGACTGCGAGGGTCATCTACAATAGTTTCCACCTTTTCTCATTACCAATCTCCTGCTCATTCTCCAATATTCATGAAGAAACCTAGCTCCTGCTCAGTCTTCTGGTCCATACCTTTCTCCAAGCATCACCCTAAGGAATGAAGACAGCCCACCAACTCACTCCACCCCCACCCCGGCTCCAATAACCACCATCTCCACTCTGGAATCTACTACAGCTGTGCCCTTGGTAATGGTTGCATGGCACAATAATACTAATAATTTCTAGTATTTGAGGGCTTTTATTATGTGCTGGACACTGCTCAGTACCACATACGCCTTATTGTCTCACTTAAACTTTCCAACAACCCCATTAAGTTACCCAATTTTTAAATACATTTTTAGACTTCCAGCCAAAATGGAGGTGTAGGTAGACACAGTGTGCCTCCTTGCACAACCAAAATTAAGGACAACAAAAATTTAGAAACAAAAAAACAACCAGAACTGACAAAAAATTGAACTGTATGGAAGTCCAACAACCATTCATCCAGACCAGTGAGAGAGGCCGAGTCAGCAGCCAGCAGAGAGGGGTCTCTGCAAGAAAAGGCAGTGGCTGACAGACCCTGGGTGTGGACAGGCAACGAGCAGACCCAGTGAGATGCACAAGGTGGCTGGCTGACTGAGGTCACACATTTGCATGCAGATAAACCAGGCAAAAACGGGCAGCAAGACAGACCCATGGCCCCAGCAACAGGAAAGAAAGCCTAAAAGCACCAGTTGAAAATACTTGTGGAGGTGGAGGAGCTGGGAGAGACTCCCAGCCTCACAACAGAGTTCGTTGGAGAGACCCACAGGGTCCTAGAACGTACACAAGCCCACCTACCCAGGAATCAGCACCAGAAGGGCCCAGTTTGCTTGTGAGAAGCGGTAGAAGAGACTGAAAAATCTGAGAGAGAGTGGAACAAGCACCACTGCTCCCTCTCGGACCCCGTCCCCACATACAGTGTCACAACCCAGCAACTGGGTTCCCCACCCTGGGGAAAACCTAAGGCTCCACCCCTCATACATAACAGGCATGACCAGACCCCCCCCCCAAAAAAAAAGGGCTCAAACGGAAGAACAGATCAAAGCCCCAGAGCCAATACATCTAAGTGACCAAGAGATAGTCAAACTATCAGAAGCACAGTTCAAAACACTGATGATCAGGATGCTCACAGAACTAGTTGATTTTAGTTGCAAATTAGATGAAAAAATGAAGGCTATACTAAGTGAAATGAAGGAAAAAGCACAGGGAACCAATAGTTATGGAAACAAAACTGGGACTCAAATCAATGGAGTGGACCAGAAGGAAGAAAGAAACAACCAAACAGAAAAGAATGAAGAAACAAGAATTCAAAAAAGTAAGGAGAGGCTTAGGAACCTCCAGGACATCTTTAAACGTTCCAACATCTGAATTATAGGGGTACCAGAAGGGGAAGAGGAAGAGCAACAAGTGGAAAACTTATTTGAACAAATAATAAAGGAGAACTCCCCCAATCTGGCAAAGGAAATAGACTTCCAGGAAATCCAGGAAGCTCAGAGTCCCAAAGAAGTTGGACCCAAGAAGGAACACACCAAGGCACATCATAATTACACTACCCAAGATTAAAGATAAGGAGAGAATCTTAAAAGCAGCAAGACAAAAGGTGAGGGTTACCTACAAAGGAGTGCCCATAAGACTGTCAGCTGATTTCTCAAAATAGACCTTGCAGGCAAGAAGGAGCTGGAAAGAAGTATTCCAAGTTATGAAAGACAAGGAAGGACCTACATCCAAGGTTGCTCTATCCAGCAAAGCTTTCATTTAGAATAAAAGGGCAGATAAAGTGCTTCTCAGATAAAGTCAATTAAAGGAGTTCATCATCACCAAGCCCTTATTATATGAAATGTTAAAGGAACTTATCTAACAAAAAGAAGATAAAAAATATAAACAGTAAAAAGAGAGCAAAGTCACAAATATTTACCACCACACCTAAAACAAAAGCAAACCAAGCAAACAACTAGAACAGGAACAGAACCACAGAAATGGAGATCACATGGAGGGTTAGCAACAAGGGAATGGGAGGAGGAAAGTGGGGGGAAAGGTACAGAGAATAAGTAGCATAGACGATAGGTAGAAAATAGACATGGTTAGGGCAAGAATAGTATGGGAAATGTAAAAACTAAAGAACTTATGACACATGGACATGAACTAAAGGGGGGAATGTGGGTGGGGGGGTGTGCAGGGTAGAGGGGAATGAAGGAGGGGAAT